TAGCGTCTGAGGTCTTCAAAAACTTTCATTAATTAAAACGACGGGGGGGGGGGGGGAAGAGGACTATGATACTAAATTCAACGGTTTTGCCTAGAGACTGTCCAGGCAAGGCTGCTATGCACTTCATATTTGCTTTTTCAGGTATTGTGGCAATAAGGCACAGGCCCCTCCTAAAGTAAGGGAGGTAAACTAAATATTCTTTCTTCTACATTGTGTTCCCCTTTTCTGTAGCATGGTCCAAAACCCAGATTCATTCCTTAAGTTTAGAAACTGAATCATCATGCATTATATTACTATTGGAATCTTTATACTGACTTGTATTTTTAATGAAAATTCATAAAACTTGTATCATTGGCATTGATCTAAGATTTGTAGAATAAACCCTACTGAATTCTAAAGTCAAGTCTTCTCTAATGCTTAGGCTGTGTTTTCTGATGTTCAATTAAATCCCCAACAGGCTCCATTCAGGTTTAAATTGAGAGCTGTGTACAGGGCTAGCTCAGCTGGCCCGTCATGCTGGTAGAAGAGGTCAGGAGCAAAAGGGGTACAATACAGTTACTGTCAACTTATTTCATTTTTAGGGGTCAAGAATGTTTTCTGCCGCACAGGGACTCTACACCATTACTACTGCTACTGTCCCTCTGTTCCTTATCATACAAACCCCAGTTTCAGTCTCTGGGGGTTAGTACTCTGCTTCTTCCATATATCGATCCAGCAGCTGTTGGTTCAGGAGCTGCACAGGCTGCTTTGTCAGCCACTCGCATCTAAGCTTTGCTAGTAGTGGAGAAAGGGTAACTTCAAGCATATACTAACACAAGTCTGGCTCAGCTTATTTGTAGCCTTTGAATTTCAGCAGATAGAAACACTTAGATGCACCAGAAAAAAGGCTGGGCTATTTCTCACAACAAGAGCTCTACCCCAGTCAAGGACGGGAAGCGACATCTTTCCAGTGGAGCCGTTCCTACAAGTAGTTCCTTGCACGCTCACAGAGTAGCTCTCTAGATGATGATCTTCGGCTTCCCAATGTGACAAAGCACTGACCAAGGCCCTGTGCTTTCCCAGATGGGTGACATTCCCCACCGCCCCTTTAAGGTGCTTTTTTACAGCTACAACTATTTTCCCTTATTTGTACTGTAACTACATCCTTACAACTTCTATCATGAGGTATTGTCATTAGCTAGAAAGCTTACCTTATCCCTTGCCAAAACTCCTGTCAAACAGCTGCTTTATCAAGAAAGTCACTTGTGTAAGTAGGGGAGGTGATGACAAGAAAGCTTAAGATCCAGTTTTCCATTATCCATCCTGTTTCCCTCTTAAGAGAAGGGCCTACCCAAGCATCCCTGCTATCTGCAGGCAGCGTGTTAAGTGGCTTTGGAGCCTTTGTACTGCAACACAGTTTCAGTGTGTGAGCCACAATATTCTAAACCTGTTCCCAAGCTCTCCCTTACCTTGCAGCAAGAGCTGGAGCTCGATCTGAATGGAAAACAGCAACTTCTGTTTGAATAACGATCAGGCATCACTGGTGATCTAACATTGATCCTCCATAAACCCTGCTAACTAATGGCAGATGTGCTCCTGCAGTAGATTTTAAAGCCTGGGGAACCGTTAAATTACCTAAAACCCAATCTCCTGGATCTTTTCCAGGACACTGCATTTCCCCTCAGCTACCTCTGAACACATCATCTCCCCAACAGATAGCCAGTTCCTTGTCTGTAACGCTGAGAGCAAGAGAATTCATTGCTCTCCTCGATAACATCCTACATAGAGGTTAACATATCAGGGCTCTTCCACGCTGTCTCCATGGAAGAGACAAAACCCAAAGGTGCGAAATGCAGCCAGAGCAGCTGACCAGACCAAAGGAGCAGTTTGGCCGGAGAGGACAGTGCCCGAGAGAGGGCACGGACCAGAGCCCAGATGCCTCCATGCATCTAGCCCCTGGGCAAGGAGCAGCCCGCGGGCAGCCCCAGCTCGCTCAGGGAGGGAGGTCAGTACGTTTACACCCCCGCCTCCCGCCAGGCCACGCAGTGCCAGGTCACCTTTGTTCTGCCCTCCAGGCAGCTTTAGGATCACAGCCAGGTGGCAGAGTGCCACAACAGTGACGTGCAAGATGCCTTGAGGAATGCAGCTGAGGCTGGGGCTCTTCGCTGGCATTTTCCCACACCACAGGCCCTCAGCTGCTGTGTTTCCCACACAATGAATGTCCCCATCCCCTCCAAAACCTGACAGCCCTCTGGGCTTCCTCCCCCCACAAAAGTCCACACACCCTTCATCCTGGTAAAGGGAAACTACTCCGGTAGTTCAGGTGTCAGCATACCCCCAAGCAAAAAACGTCGGGGACTTACTTACACAGACCTTGCCCTCCCTGCCAGCTAAGATCCCCTTTATCAAGGTTGCTTTGTTATTATCTCACCCACAGACCTCACAAACCACAAATTAAATCTGAAGCTTTGAAAGGCAGTCCTCCCCCCCTAAACACCAGCTAAACCTGGACACAGGTTTTTTTCTCTAGAGCATCAGCATCCGCACAACCCCACTCCATCCCCTTCCAATGCGAGTTCACTCATGGGCACAGCATGACAAACCATCACTTTTACCATTACTGCACCCAGCAGACGCATCCTCAAGCACTGCTGACATCCCCCACTCCCATGCACCGCGCTCCTTGAGCGAGCGCCTACCCTTTGTGCTCACCCATATGACTGCCGATCACCTCTTTGGCACAATGCTGTCTTCACCATGCTTTGACACCATGCCCAAGCACCTTGCAGCCTGGGAATCCCAGATCCCTTCTGTATAACCTCCCTGGGACTC